GATGTGATCTATGGACTTAAGGTGAATTTCAGTGCTTCCAGGTAATCCCCATGACAGATGGGAGCATGCAGAAGAACACACAGAGCAGACCAAGGAGGCTTGGAGGAGAGAGGAGGAAGAAAAGTTTCCTAAAGCTGCAGGAAACAGGGAAGCTGGAGAGGAGCTTCTTGGAATTTTCTTCCCTGATCAACGACCCATCAAAGAATGTTCAAAGGTATTTGAAGATTTCCCTGCTGCGCTTTAATCCTTCAAAGTGCTTTTTATAGTGAAGAAATACTTCAAATGATTTTGTTAATATACAGAGCAAAGGATTGAACAATGATGGTTCCTAAATGTACTGTTGAGTGGAATTGTTCAATACGTATATTCAAACTTAATGTACAGTAAAGCCATGCTGCGTTTGTTGCAATAAAACACATTTCTATTTTTATTCTCTTTTTTTTTCTCTAAGCATGTAGTTCTCTGTATCCACAAGACCATTAGTTGTGGGATTTCACTGGCCAAAAATGGAGTTTAATAAGTAGACATTATATCTGATCTCAGTCTCCCTCCTTAGAAGGAACTCAAATGGCTCAAGTGAATGATGGTGCATAAAGATATAATAAAGATATGTAAAGATATCAGCTGCATATAGAATGTATATCATGATTCTGATATATTTAACTTCAGGACATCTGAATTTCAGGTGGATAAGGCCCACCCAGCATATGGGTCATGGCACTTCCTTAGGTCAGATTTCAGTTCTACGTAACTTCAATGTATTTTTTATTTGAAACTTCCCCTTTCCATTACCACCGTCATTATAAGAGGAAAATTAATAGGCTCAAAACATCCTTAGACACAACAGAGCTGATACTAGACAAGGAATTTAGTGATAAACACTTTGAAGGTTTATACCTAATAAACTGATGACTCTCTACCTGCTTTCTACAAGTTGTTTTTCCTCCTTGTCATGCTGTTGTAAGAAGCAAAATAAGTTTATTCTGGCAATAACTGGAATATGTGTTTTTAGTCACCTTTTCAGGGAAGGGGAGGGTGTTTTGAGCTGTGCCTGAAGTGGGAACAAACAGGAATCACTGGTGAAAGTGTTGGCACAGAAACTCCTCAAATATAAACCCTGCTGTTAAAATATTGCCATTTGTAGAAGCTAAACCCAACCAAACACTTGTCTGGGGTCAACACAGCTGTCTGCATTGCTCTTCTCCATCCATATTCGGGTTTGTTAATGCAAATTGTTGCTGGTTGTGCTTGTGACATTGATGCTTTCCTCCAGAAGCTCATGGGTTCCAGTGAGTCCTGCAGCATTTCTCAGCCATTCCTTTGGCCAACTGAATGGCACCACTGGAGTTCACAGACTGGAAGATAACCTGGGACACCTATAGCTCATGTGTTGGTCTGTATGTCACGCTGATGTGGAGCAAGGTGAGCCCAAACCCATCTCATTTGCCCATCTCTCAGCCAGTCCTTTAGGCTCTCAGGGATACAAATCAGTAGCCCAGTGACAGTCTCCCCAGGGAAGTGGTGGATTCCCTCCCATTGGACACTTAAGCTTCAGCTGGAGAAGGTGCTGGAACATCTAGCTTAGATCAGGCTTTGCCTAGAAAGGTTGGACCAGATGATCCTTGAGGTCCCTTCCACCCTGGTGTTCTCTGGTTCTGATGGAAAACTTAGCCTGTTCATGGGACCATGTGTGGGTCTTCTCTGGACATGGCAAATCCTCCTTTGGGCTACGCAGACTCTATTGATCCATCCAGTTCCCCCTGAGATATCATAGGATGTATGGACACAGGTCTGTCAGGCATGGCTTGTGTCCTTTAGGGTAGCCAGAGGGATGTATGGTAAGTCTCTGATAGTCCTGGACACCCACGTCTGAACAGCTGAGCCACCACCTTCATTTCTCCTGACTGCAAAGAGACTCTTGGCAGTTAGCTCATATACCAATGCTTAATGCTGTTGGCAACTGATGGATGAATAAATCCCACTTATGGATCAAATCTGATCCAAATATGGCTCTGTTCATGCTGTCAGTCTGATCTCAAAGCATGGGCTTCTGTTATTTAAAGGGAAAACTTAGCTATATACTGAAAGAAACAGTGTGAATTGTAACCCCCAAAAATGTTCCAGGCACTGGAAGAATCTGGTGTCTATTGAGTGTGTTGAGCAGAGGCAAACGACACTGAAGTTACCATGAATATACTATCAGTTTGCTGCTACACCCCTCCCGAAATGTTGTAAAAAGAACTGGATTAGCATCATCCCTTTTCAAAAGAGGTTGTAGTGGAATGGGTTTGGTCTTGCAATAGAGGTGGAGCAGTGGAATGACTTGTCTCTGTGCAAAAAGGAGTCAAAAATGGGTAGCTGAGATACTCTGGAAGTACCTGGAGCACAGTAAAAAGGTCTAAGGGACCATCAGTCATGTTCTGACAAGTTGCTCCTAGATAGACCTGTCGCTGGTGGCTCTGATGGATGCTCCCAAGCCCATCACAGAATCCCAGCCTGGTTTGTGTTGGAAGGGACCTTAAAGCTCCTCCAGCTCCAACCCCTGCCACAGGCAGGGACCCCTTCCACTGGAGCAGGGTGCTCCAAGCCCCTGTGTCCAACCTGGCCTTGAACACTGCCAGGGATGGGGCAGCCACAGCTTCTCTAGGCACCCTGTGCCAGTGCCTCAGCACCCTCCCAGGGAAGAGCTTCCGCCTAAGAGCTCATCTGAGTCTCCCCTCTGGCAGGTTCAAGCCATTCCCCTTGGCCTGTCCGTACAGGCCCCTGTCCAAAGCCCTTCTCCATCTTTCTTGTGGCCCCTTTAGGCACTGGTGCTTATCATGATGGTTATGGTATGTTTAAGGAGCCTTGGAAAATAAGAGATGAGCAAACTCACAAGGACAGATGAACCTAACCACTGGCCCTGAAATAGTGATATTCACTTTAAAATGTAAAGAATATTTCTGCAAAGAAATATTCTGTTGACGGAGAATGGATCTTTGCTGAGTCTTCTGGTCCTGACACTCATCTGGTGGGGTAAGATTTTAATTCTCATCTTTAATCCTGTAAAGATTTAGTTGTTTTATTCTGAACCTTCATGTTATCAGGGACAGAAACCTGTAATTCACACTTTTTTTTTCATGAGGGTGAGCAGCTTAACTTAGTGCCTAACTTAGACAACCAGAGTTGAGTGAGTTTGGCTTAGCAGAGCTCAATGGTCTCATCATGGTGTTGATTCCTCCTAATCGTATATTCTCTTAATAGTACTAAGGGAATAACATCTTCAGACCCAAATTTTGCTCATGGTCTCCTGGCTTCACCTCCCCAAGGTTTCCAAGACTGTAATATTAAACTCTTCATGTCCTGAATGAGTTTTAGGGTCATGCAGCACCCCTTCCCTTCTCCTTCCTTAATTCCCAGCAAATTAAAGGCTCTTTTTCCTTCATCTCAATGACTTTTCCAAAACCACCCAAGGAAAGCTACAGTGCTTTTCGTCTTATATGAGTTAAAGGCAGAAGCTGCTTCCAAAATCAGTGCTGTCTTCAGAGAAACTTGATCGCAGGAGATCAAGGGCAGAGCTGATGGCTTGGTTTGTGTCACATTGATCCCTCTCTGCTGCTGTAGCCATTGGTCTCATCAAACCGTAGGTACCAAAATGGGATTGAGTGATACAAATGGATCTGCTCAGAGGTGTTTGGGGAAGCTGGGATGCTGTCACTTCAGAAGGGGCCACCTCTTTCCTTGGGCTGTGTAAGAGGTCAAGCTTAGAGCAGATGGCCACAGAGCAGTCCATTCCACTCTAGCTCCCTGGAAATGAATAGTGGGGATGCCCTCGGTGCACAGGGTGCTAATTGTCAAGTTATCCCATTCCAGTTCAAATAAAGGCATGGTTTCCACTGTCCTGTATTTTCCAGACTTTTTTCCTTCCTTGCCAGATACAAAAGCCCAGAATGGCAGAGCAGAATCACACCTCAGCAGCAGAGTTCATCCTCAAGGGTCCCAGTGACCAAGTGGAGATGAAGGCAGCCTTTTTTGTGCTGTTGCTGCTCATCTACACCATCACCCTTCTGGGCAACGCAGGGATAATTGTAGCCATCTGAGGTCACCCGCTTCCTAGTTCGCTGCTTCCTAGGCAGCCTCTCCATTGTTGACATCTGCTTCTCCTCCGTGGTAGCCCCCAGGACTTTGGTCAACTTCCTATTGGAGAAGAAGACCATTTCCTTTGCTGGCTGTATGGGTCAAGGTTTCTTCTACATCGTCTTTGTGACAACTGAGTGTTTCCTGCTGGCTGTCATGGCCTATGGCTGGTATGTGGCCATCTGTAACCACTTGCTCTACTCCTCTGTCATGACTCAGAGGTTATGTGTGGGGCTGGTGGTAGGGTGCTATATTGGGGGTGTCCTGAACTCCATCATTCAGATGACCTTCATCATCAGGCTGCCCTTCTGCAGCTTCAATGTCATCAATCACTTCTTCTGTGATGTTCCTCCTCTCCTGGCTCTGTCCTGTGCCAGCACGTACATCAATGAGATGATCCTCTTCTCCTTGGCTGGTGTCATTGAGCTCAGCACCATCTCTGCCATTCTGGTCTCCTACGTCTTCATCTTCTTTGCCATCCTGAGGATCCGTTCTGCTGAGGGCAGGAAAAAAGCCTTTTCCACCTGCATGTCCCACCTGATTGTGGTGACCATGTTGTATGGAACAACCATTTTCATGTATTTATGCCCTAGCTCTAGTTACTCCCTGAACACTGACAAAGTGGTCTCTGTTTTCTACACGGTGGTGATCCCCATGCTCAACCCCCTCATCTACAGCTTGAGGAACAAAGAGATGAAGGATGCTCTGTGGAGAACTGCAGAAAGAATCACCGTGAGGCTTTGAAAACCCTGATCCAGGGATGTGGGTAACATGAGGCTTTGTTCCAGAGGCTGTGGAGCCTCCACCCATGGACATGTTCAGAAGCTGCCTGAATGAGGCCAGGAGCAACCTGATGCGGCCATGACTAGCATGACCATGACTCGTCACTGATGTGACTATGACCAGCAGGACATAGTTATTGCTCAGAAAGGACATCTAGGAGGTCTCTGTTCCTATGACCGGCAAATTATACACATAAACATATATGTATATGTGTGTATATATATAAAAACACAATATTAAATGCATCCTAAACTCTATATTTATATATAACACAATATATTCTTGTGTTAAATGTCAACACCAACACAGACGATACAGATTTTGCTTGCCTCAGTTTAGCTGGGGTCTCAGTGATTTATGGGCTGGGTAGGGGAGGCAGCTCCTACGAAAAGGTTTTCCCAGGAAGGATGGAAACCCAAGATCTAAATGGATGAACTGATCTTTTAATGCAGTTATGGAGCAATGGGATATCGTCCGTGAGCCAAGTGAGTGAAATGCAAATTCTACAACAGGTCTGTGTTTGGAACCAGGCTGCTGAGTTAAATCACAGTCAAATTGGGCTTTGCCACCTCTTTTCAGGCAGCTGTAGAAATTCACCCTTTCATTTTTCCTCCTCAAGTTCTGCCTTTCTCAAAGCCTTTAAGAGAAGCTCTAAGGAGTTTTCTAATTTATACCCACAGTGGTTTGTTAAAAACAAAGGCAAGAATGTTATCAGTAGAGTTTGCTGCAGGAGAGTTGCACTTTGGTTTGAGGCAATGGGGATTAAAGAAACCCAAAGCAAACATGGAAACACACCAACACACTGAAACAGCAAGAAAATCGAAGGTAATTGAAAAACCCAACCAAAAGTCTTTATTTCCTATGCAAGAAGTCATTCCTGGCACAAATTGCAGCCCCCACATATCTTGGTTGCTATAAAATCGCAATGCCACCAGGGAAAACAGTCACCACAGGGTTTCCCCACACACCCAAAACTTCCCCATTTCTTTAGCAGCTCATCACTCAAAGGTGAGAGATGTCCGTTGATCCAGTTGTGTTAACACGCTCCTCTGGGAATGGATTTGGAGCTGAAGGGCTGATAGGAAGGAGAAGGCTTGGCTGAGTCGTGGATGGAGATTTTCCACCTGTGGTCACTTGAGCTGTGGCATCTCCAGTGGAAAAAACACTCTTTAATCCCGGGGAAAATAACCCAAACAGGGATGTGACCCTGGTCAGCACTAAGGAATAAATCTTTATTTTTTTACACTTTATTCTTTATTTATACTTTATTCTTTATCTGTTCTCTTTTATTCTTTATTTATTCTTATTCTTTAGTAAAGTTACCAGCCTGAAGCTGAATCTTACTGTTGCCAGCAGGATATGGCAGTATCCACATATGCTTGTTCTTTAGATGTCCATTTCCCCTTCAAAACTACATTTCATCTACTTCTGAACAAAATCCATTCCTTTTCCTGTGTGATTTTTGTTCCTTCTTGGTACCATTGCTCTCTGTGGTCACCTCCAAGAGGTGCAAAATGGTCACAGGAGTCCCTCTAGGTATCAAAAGGCAGAAGATTTGAATAACCGTCTAGAAAATCATGGATCAGGATTTCTTGTACAACACCACCATCTATTGGACGTTGCTGGAATAGTCACTCCTTTCATTTAAGATAAAACCACCTTTTTCTTACGTGCTGGGAAGCTTTGGGTTGCCAAGAGGCTTGTTCTCAGAAAACTGAGAAATAATAGATAAATAAACTAAGGCCATCATGTTGCCTCTACAGTTGGCTGATCCTATGTAGACAGTTTATTTCCTGACCCTGTTAAGGCAATGTCAGATAGTTTAACAGCTTCAAAGTCCTCTCACATTTAGAAATGATGCTTTAAACCCCACTTTTCCTAATGCAGTTCTTGGCTGAGGCTTCAGGTTGTATGAAATGTAGATTATTGTAGAATCATAGAGTGGTTTGGGTTGGAAAGGAGCTTGGTTCCAACCCCCTGCCATGGTCAGGGACACTACACACTAGACCATGTCATCCAAGCCCCTATGTCCAACCTGGCCTTGAACACTGCCAGGGATGAGGCAGCCACAGCTTCTCTGGGCACCCTGTGCCAGTGCCTCAGCACCCTCACAGGGAAGAGCTTCTGCCTAAGAGCTCATCTCAGTCTCCCCTCAGGCAGGTTCAAGACATTCCCCTTGGCCTGTCCCTACAGGCCCTTGGCCAAAGCCCTCCTGCAGGCTTCTTGTAGTCCCCTTCAGACACTGAAAGCTGCTCTGTGGACTCTAAGCAGCTTCTTTTCTCCAGGCTGCACAGCCCCAGTGTTCTCAGCCTGGCCCCATACGGGAGGTGCTCCCGCCTCTGAGCATCCTTGTTGCATCTCTGGACTTGCTCCAGCAGCTCCATGTACTCCTTGTGTTGGGGACACCAGAGCTGTATCAAATCTTCTTGACCTTCCACCAGTTCATCATTGAGGAAATGCTTATAAATCAGGCAATGTAGACAGACGTCAGTGCCTTATGTGAAGTCTGAGCCTCCTTTTTGTGGGCTCTACTTTCATTTAGCACAATTTAGACAGAAAACACATGGTGCTGTCTCAGGCCTGCTATTAAATACCTGATACTTATTTGGATGGATTACTGAAGGCTCAGGCCTCGCTTCAAACAACCTGAGGCTACTTGAAGAGAACCATTCGTTGTGCTGGTTTCCGTACCCTGCACTTGCTGTAATAATGACCAGTAGTGAGCAAGAATGACCAATAATGGCCAGTAATGCTCAGTTCCATAATCACATATTCCACATATTCCTTCCTTACCTCCACAGTACTGAAGAGCTCCAAATGTGCTTTCAAACCCTGCATAGATGTGGCAGCAGCTTTCTCTCCCACAGCCTCCTCAGAGCCCCCTTCACCTCCTTGTTCCTCAGGCTGTAGATGAGGGGGTTGAGGGTTGGGGTGAGGATGCAGTAACACACCGACACCAGCTTTGCCTGATCCCATGAGGATGCCGCATGAGGCTGGACGTAGGTGAGTATCGCAGGTGCGTAGAAGATGGTGATGGCAGCCAAGTGGGAGGCGCAGGTAGAGAAGACCTTCAGCCTCCTCATGGCCAAAGGGATCTGCAGGACGGTGTGGAGGATGTAGGTGTAGGACACCAGGATCATCAGGAGAGAGAGCATGGCATTAAACACAGTGTTGTAAAAAAGCAAGACCTCATTTGTGCTTGTGTCTGAGCAGGAGAGCTGCAGGAGGGTGGGCAGCTCACAGAAGAAGTGGTTGATGCTCCTGGCCTGACAGAAGGACAACCTCCCTGCCAGCGTGATGTGCACCAGGGAGGTGAGGAACCCGATGCTGTACACCAGCACCATCATGCCATAGCAACGCGCCCTGGTCATGGTAGTGGTGTAGAGCAGGGGCTTGCACACAGCCGTGTATCGGTCATAAGCCATTACCCCAAGCAGGAAGCTCTCACTGGTAGCCAGAGCCATGAAAATATACATCTGAGCAAAGCAACCCCAAAAGGAGATGTGGCTTCCCCCCAGCAGGAAGGTCTCCAGAGCTTTTGGGATGATAGCGGAGGAAAGGCAAACATCCATGCAAGATAAGTGAGTCAGGAAGAAGTACATGGGGATGTGGAGGTGGGGGTCAGTGTTGATCAGCAGGATCATTGTCAGGTTCCCCAGCACCATGAAAACATAGAGGGAGAAGAAGACTGTGAAAATGGTGGTTTGTAGCTCTGGGGCATCAGACAAACCCAAGAGGATGAAGCTAGAGAAAACAGTGAGGTTTCCTGTATCCGTCATTTCAACAAGTTGATGGATTTGGATTGAAAGGAATCAGTGAAATACATCCCTAGAAAAGAAATAATGTGGAAGTTTAGTTGGAGTTTAATCCATAAAGTAAATGCAATGGAAAATGGTGTATTTGTAATGGTGTATTTCTGTCTGTAACTCAAGATCTGAAGTCAAAGAAGTGAAGGAGCTCATTACACAGCCTGAAATTAAAAGAGAATAATTCTACAATGATTGATATACACATCACTAATGAAACACTGCAAAACATCATGTCTATCCAAACGTAATACAATAAAATCAAAGAAGTACATCTCAAAATGTGGAAATCAGAAAACATTTTGTATTTTCTTCTCTGAGTTCTGGGCATTTTAAGGATTTTTTTCTCTCTTTTTTGTATTTTTCAGAGTGGACCAGTGCTCTTCTGTAGCTTCATTACTTGTGCTGCATCCTTTTCATCACACCACAAAGCCATGTACTTGAAATTTCCTTTATGTTCTAAGTTTATCTGCTTTTGAAGAACCCCCACCCTGCATAATGTTAAGGGAAAGCAGTGGACTTGTCTCCAGCAGAGCTTTGCTGTGATTGCAGTGAGCTGCCTATGACCAACTCAAATATCCACCTAAGAGTGCAGAATATATCATATATAAACCAAAATGTTAAGGCTTTATCTTGGATACTCTCATCTCTGCCATTCAATTCCTCTGCAGTTGAATTACTTGATGGAATATCAATCTATGAACGGCTACATCACTGCAAAAATACCCCTAACTCTATTGTAGGTATGTGGGTTTTTGAACTAAACCCACCCTTTGTTAGGGCACGTTTAATCACACCGCAGGCTATCATAGAATGCTTTGGGTCAAAGGGACCTTAAAACTCATCCAGTCCCAACCTCCTCCCAAGAACCCCCACGCTGCATAAGGTTAAGGGAATGCAGTGGTCTTGGCTCTAGGAGAGCTTTGCTGGGATTGCAGTGAGCTTCCTATGACCAACCCAAATATCCACCTAAGGGTGTAAAATACAAAAGACACAAAATAAAAACCGAAATTTTAAGGCTTTAGCTTGGATATTCTCATGCTAAAATATTGCTAAATCAGTTGTAAATGGGGTCAGGAAGGTTGGTGTTTTTGAAGCAAACCTACCCCATACTAGGGCACTTTTATTCACATCATGATTTATCATAGAACGGTTTGGGTTGAAGGGAAACTAAAGCTCACCCGGACCCAACCCACTGCCATGGGAAGGGACCCCTTCCACTAGAGCAGCTTCCTCCAAACCCCTTTAATAAACATGGCCTCGAACACTGACAGGAATGGGGCAGCCACAGCTTCTCTGGGAACCCTGTGCCAGCACCTCAGCACCCTCATAAAGAAGAACATCTTCCTAATCTCCAACCTGAATTTCCCTGTTTCAGTTTAAACCCTTCACCCCTTGCCCTATCAATACAGTCCCTGAAGAAGAGTGAAATTCAACATGCCATCAAGCATGGGAGAGGCAGCATGACCAGGGTCAAACTGGACCCACCACCCATCAAAGCCTTTTGTACTTGCTTGTTTAAAGAGGAAGGTGGTGGTGGATGCAGTGCCTGCAGCTCCTTTTGGAGCCCATGCGATAGGTTGAAGGAGAAATGCCTGGGAGCAGGATGGTCCAGGTTGGCTGGTGGAGGGGTTTTATCTCACAGGAGGCATTACCTCAGAGGCTTGTGTTGTGCAAACTGTTCTCCCAAAGGACCCTCCTCCATCGGATAATTAGTTTGACTTGATCAGCAAAACAACCTCTCAAGTCCTCTCTCCCCAAACTCCTTCTGGCTGCATCAACACCTCCAAGACCAGTTCTCCTGCAGAGACCTTCCCAGGAAGGCAGGCCCAGGACAGTTTGCTCTGTCTTTCCCCATCTATCACATACCTCTTCCTTTCAGTGTTTCCCTTTACTTCCACAGAGATCATCTAATATTGCATTGAAGGGAGCTGAAAACAAACACAACAAAGCATCCTCTGTGTGGATGGTTTGAGGTGCTCATGGGGATTAGTTTCCAAAAGACAGCTTTATTTCCATACACTTGACTAGTGATTGTACAACACTTAGGTCAAAAGCATTGGCTCAAAACATGGCTGCTTTGAGGATATAGCAGGATGAAGTCAGATTTCCCAGCCTTCATCTGAAGAATCCTGAGTGCCAGTGTGTCCTGAATGCTTCTCCTATATGAAGAGATATTATAAAACCCTTGGTAAAAAAATTAACTGATAACCTTGTCCCAGACATTTAGAAAACACAAAGGATGGGGCAAACAGGTCGCTTTAAATGTTTTCAATGCAAACCTTGTTTTCTGCTAGAAAGCAACAGACTGACAGTCCAGGAGATGGACTGGAGGAGGGCAGAAAAGGATTTCTGAGTGGTTTTGAATGTCTTTCTTCCCCATTGGATACTGGGCTAAAGCAAAGGCTTATGAAGTGGGAAAATCAGTATAACAGAGAGAGAAATAACTTTCAATCAAATTCTGGAAAGAAGAAAAATATATAATTCAAAGATCATTTAAAGGAACAACATGAAGGCAAAAAAGGCCACTAAGAATGCCTGGGTGCACTTGTGCAGGGTGAATAATGCAGCTTGAAGTCCCAGATGCAGACAGCTGGGTACTGCACTTGCTCCATCAGCTTTGTCAGGGGACCCAGCCCAGCAGAACCTTGGCTTTTCAGGGGGGAGGAGGACCCCAAATCCTCCCTCCTAACAGCACTCAGGTTTTTTACAACCCTACTTAAAATCACAGCAGAGCAGAGGCTCAGATATGACTTGTCCTCATTTCCCACAAGGGCTTTGACTTCAAGAGACTGACAGCTTTATTTCTTAGAATTGCAGCCTGGTTTATGTTGGAAGGGACCTTAAAGCCCCTCCAGTTCCAACCCCTGCCACGGGCAGGGACACCTTGTACTAGGGAAGCTTGCTCCAAGCCCCTGTGTCCAACCTGGCCTTGAACACTGCCAGGGATGGGGCAGCCACAGCTTCTCTGGGCACCCTGTGCCAGCACCTCAGCACCCTCCCAGGGAAGAGCTTTTGCCTAAGAGCTCACCTCAATATCCCCTCTGTCATTTCACGTGACCAAACCTTGTGGGCTGGAGCTGAAATACCTGGAAATATCAGTTAATATTTCCTTAAAACCAGAAATAACACCAGAAATCATTTGCTAATATAAAACATGAGCTTAGATATCTGTGGTTTGATGCCAGCAGGGCAAAGCCGCCACCTACCTTCTCCCTTTTGCACTCTGAAGCCTGAAATAAAGTTTATTGCTATGTCTAATAACGTTTAAATAATAAAATATATTAACTTCAATTAATATTTAAGTAACAATGACTTTGGACAACAACTTACTTTCCAGTACACAGTCACTGTCAGGTCTCAGGCTGCAGCCAGAGAAAGTCCTGTCCATCCCAGCACAGAATGTAGCCTTGGTTTAAGGAGAAGCATGTTTTCCAGCTGTCATGCTTCCAAGTATGTTTAGTCCCTGCTTTGTGCAGGTGCTATATCCACCCATCCTTGAAGGTGCTATATCCAACCAGCCTCTTCAACGTGTAATATCCAGCCATTCTTGAAGGTGCAGTATCCAGCCTGCTTGTTCTCCTCACCAGGGCAGGGTAGCCCTCTCCTTTCAGCTGACTAGGAACCATGAATGGACAAAGAGCAGAGGACTTTACTTTTTGCTTTCCTCATGGCGTTCTTCATATTTGCATTTCTTAGGCTGTAGATGAGTGGGTTCAGCATGGGGACAACCACAGAGTACAGCATGGAGACCACCTCGTCATGCTTTGAGGACTGGCTGGAGCTGGGCCGGAAGTACACGAAGAGGGAGCTGCCATAGTAGAAAGCAATGGAGATGAAGTGAGAGGCACAGGTGGAGAAAGCTTTACGTTGACCAGCCACAGACCACATCCACATGACAGTGGAAAGGACCTACAAGTAGGAGATGAGGATGAAGACCGTGGTGCTCAGTACCTTGAACCCCACCACGGCAGCAACCATCACCTCGATGGCAGGGGTGTCAGAGCAGGAGAGGGCTAGCAGTGGTGGTCCATCACAGAAGAAGTGATTGATCGTCTTGGACCGACAGAACGGGAGACGAGATATGGAAACCGTGTGTATGGTAGAGCTGATCACGCCAGCTAAGTAGGCACCAGCCTACATCCCAATGCAAAGCCTTTGGGACATGACTATGGAGTAGAGAAGGGGGTTACAAATGGCCATGTAGTGATCGTAAGCCATAGCAGCCAGCACGTAGCACTCGGTGGTGGCACAGGTTGCAAAGCAGAAGAGCTGAGTGGCACATCTAATGAAGGAAATCACCTTCTTCTCCACTAGAACATGGAGCAAGGCTTGAGAGATGATGATAGAGGAGTAGCAGACATCCAGGAGAGACAAGTGGCTTAGGAAGAAGTACATGGGATGTGTAGGCATGAATGCATTCTGATTAATGCAGTTACTCCCAGGTTTCCTATGAAGGTAACCACATAGATGGCAAGGAATAAGGCAAAGCACATCACCCACAGGTCTTCCCTGTTTGTGAAGCCCCAGAGGGGAACATATAATTATCTTCAACCATAGTGAACCTAAAAGAAGATTACCTGCTTTATGTCTTTAAATTGAAAATTCTGAATAGGCCCAAATCCCTCAATAATGTTAAGAATGTCACGTTTTGTCTATCAGTCAGTTACATCACTTTAAGTCAATATAAAGTGTGTATATATACATATATATACACACAGATACATAAATATAAGCCAATAGGAGGTAAATTCTTTTTGAGAGAGGAAAACACCAAGTGCCCAAGGCGAGTCTTGGCTGAACACCACAACCACCACCAACAGACTTGGAAGCAAGTAGGTATTTTAAGGCAAGGAGGGAGGGCAACACCAGAATAAATAAACTGCAGGGTTCCTCATAGTTCCTCTCAAGCCATTGACACATGGAAGTCCTTGAATTCCTGAGTAACTGCTGGGAAAAAGGAATTACTTCTC